TAATTGACTCTTTAGATAGTTTTAATATTTAATATTGACATTGCTAATTAATTTCGGCTCTTTAGGCAGTTTTAATATTTAATTTTAATATTGTTAATTAATTTCAGCTTTCTAATTAAATTAAAGTTTAATTTTTGGTATCATAATCATGTCAATAGCACTTTAAGGTCTACAAGTATTTTTTAATGACAGTTTTAATTGACTTTCCGGATAGCTTGTCAATTTCACTAAGCGAAAGTGACACTATGGCGGCGGAATAATAATTGCCTCGCATGATCTCAGGCTAATCCAACTTGGAATCTACCGGCGGCATACTAATTCGGGTACTTTTAGACTCGCATGACCCGGGAGTAGCAAACGGATGGAATCGAGAATCCATTAGCGACCAATTGAAATTCCGATCCAGTCCGCTAAAGAGTGAAGTACTTAAATACTTTTATGCGGACGACGAACGCCTTTTGCTATTATTATAGTTTTGTGAGACTCCATTATCGTCGGTGGTTACGAGATTAAAAATTTCTTAGTTCGGTAGCGTCGCGCCGCAAAGGTGTAAAATTCCAGAATTAAGAGATAAAATTTCTCCCGGTAGAATATTTGCGGCAGAAAAAATATTTCCCTTTCGCGATCCAATGAGAACTAACGATTGCGCACGAATTTAATTTAATTTAGTCTAAATTTAATTATTCAGAGAAATATAATTAATTATTCAGAAAAATCATATCCTTTTTAATATACAACGATCGCCGGATGAAATTTCATCTTCTGTCAATAACTTCTATTAATCTCATTAAAATGTGAAAATGAAAACATTAGTGAAATAGAATAAATGAGATGAAATAAATCCGATGGAAATTATGAAGCGATCAGATATTGTTTCGATAATGGAAAAATTCGTAAGAGTTGAAAAGTGATTGGTGGTCAGATGCCAAAATATCAGAATATACGCGATAGATGAAAATTTCAAGGAAAATGGCGGTGGTCCTTAAAAAATAGGACGTAATGTTAATAACGAACTTTTGGTAATATTTCACTGGCCTGTTTATAAATGTAGATTTTGTTACGATACATTTTTTGAGTTAATAATTAAAAGCAGGTGGAATTTTTACATGGACGGTTTTTGGGCCGAACGCACGCACAGTGCGCTAAGAGTTCCTTGCGCAGGGATTGCGGCGGTACTCGTAAAATCGGAAATTAGGGGGCTACGCCGGCGGGGGTTGGGTGGCAGCGACCAGGTATTTAAATGGATTCAATTTGGATCGGTGCCAGGCAGGCTCGTGCCAACCGTCGAAAGATGCTCGTAAAAGATGAAACTCTCGGCTCGTCGTCGGACGAATTAATCGCCATCTCGGCAAATCGAGTCGCTATTAAAGAAGTCGCAATGCGAGTTCGATAAACGATCTGACCTAAAACCATCGAGATTCATGTCGCATTTAACATTTTCGGCGCTGTATCCCACCAAAGTGTTCTCGTAAAGTAATAGATTTTTCATCGATCCAATTTTCCGTATTTATACTCATTTCATTAATTATTGTACATCAACAATTCAAGAATTAATTTGAGATTTAATTGCAATACTTTGCTTGGTATTTTTATACGTGAGGAAGGAATAAGAGAGAGGGATATTTATGTTATTGTATATTTTAAAATTACCTTGTTGCTTTCCAGATATATTTTCACAGAAAGTGTCATTTAATTAATTTTCTTAATTTCTTTAATTTTTGCAGAAAATTAAACAATTGTGGGATCTTTTTAACAATAGACATTAAATTTAATGTTGACATCTGTGAATCTTATATAACGCTGAGTTTATTCTTCTACTTGAAAAGAATTAAATTTTGTTCTTTGCGAAAGAAGTGTAGCTTAAAATATATGTTCTTTTATAATGGGTTTTCCCGATCTCTTTTAATGTAATTTAACTCTTAAAGCTCGGAGCGGCGCTGGAATTTCTTTCTATCGCGGGGGTGCAAAAGGCATCCCCGTGCAATCTTGCCAGTATCACCCCGGAAAATTTTCCATCATAAATATTTCACACGGCGTCGTTTCGACTCGGGGAAGGCCCGGCGTCGTTTCGCGGACGGGCGACGACGTCCTTCGACGTGACTTCCGAAATTCCGTCGGAATGGTGTATTCTCGGCACCCACCATCGGGGAACGCGGCCACGCGTGACACGTGTCGCGTGCACGTACGCTCGTCAACTGCCGGATAAAACCATTTGTCAAATTTAGTTCTGCCGAACGAGGGAGGCTCTCTCGAATTTCTTTGACGTTCCGCAGAAGGAATAGGCAGCTTGCCCGGACCGGAAGTGGCGTCCGACGATGCGAAATGATAGAGAGCAGAGCGCCGTGTGTAGCGCTTTCTGCTCTAGCTTAAATCAAATAATCTTTTAAATAAAATAACCTTCTAAAAAGTACCTCAACCCTCTTATCGTCGTTTATTACTGTTTTACTTGTTACCTTTCTTTTATTACCAAGACATTTTATTGTGTAATACTACTAGTAGTACGTGGAAAATATTGATGGTTTTTCTCGATCGTGATTCTTTCCATGTAGTATGTCGTTTTGTATATGGGATCTCTCCTGCAAAGCGGCTTTCGTCTTTCTAGGCCAAGTGAGGCAGAAAATGGCGCGACGCCGCCGGCGATTTTCGCAATTAGCAAGTTTAACGTGTTGTACAAACGCGTTTTCGTTCGTCGCTCGTTTTCGGCGCGAATCAAACGCTGGTACCTGACATCCTCACGCGTTACCTCAACATTTCTTCGTTGGATAGGGCTCTCGGGATAATGCAAATATTACCCTGGGGACAATCGTAGGAACACCTGTCCTCGTAGTTTCCGCGGGGAAAATTCACTTTTCAGGTTTAATTTATGTTAATTTGTAGATATTAAAATTCCTTTACTTTCTGCAATACAAAATATCGCAAGCAACAGACTATGCCACGCGAGAGAGAGAGAGAGAGAGAGAGAGGGGGGAGGAAGAATAAAAATAAAAAGTAAATATATTTATTTTGTTTACTTTGTTTAAAGATAATAATATTATTTCGTACATTTAGAATATATTGTAACTAGTATTTTTATTTTAAGGTTTCAACTTATTTTTTGATTTGTACTTGTTGCCTCATAAATGTATTTACACAAAATATGTATCGTACATATTAATTTATTATCTGCAAGATTTTAATTGTGTTTTATTCAATTCTATTTAGTTCACATGACGATGCAAATGGTAAAAATTTCGAAAACCTGAAGCGACGAATCTTTAACGTATAATAAATTCACGATGTTAATTGCAAAGTTATTTGTAATAAGTGGGTTATGTGTGACAATAATATAATAGAAAGCTTATATATTAATTTACAAAAATCGAAACAAAAATCGCTTTCTAGGGAATATAAAACTTTTTTTAAACAATTTTACCAATAATTCGAATTAATGGCAAGAAATTCACGATGCGTTGGTTTTACTGTTCTAATTCTGCTGTTACTATGCGAGAAGAATTGTGGCACGATGGTCGCGATGAATAAGAGCGGTCGATCGAATATTTATATCGAGCCGCCACCGGAGAATGCTGCATCTCGCGATGCATCACAGGAATTGAAGCACGGGGCGATCGAGAGGGAAACCGAGGGAGAGGAATAAAAAGAGAGAGAAGTAGAAAAATAGTTGGTTACCGAGTAAATGCAGAATTTTCATTCTGCATATCTGCAATGCGTCTATCGAGAGTGAAAAAAAGTACACGATTGGCGGGAACGTTTGTATTGCCGTTTTCTCAGTGGCCGTTAAGAATGAAGAGAAAAATGACAGAGAATATAGATAAGGATGAAGTTTTATTTTCAGGCCCGTATATTAGACTTTTCAGTTAGCTTCGTTTTTTTGTAAGATTGAAGTCTTGTATTATAAAGTAAAATGGAGCAAATGTGTCTTGTTCTGCTTCCAATTTATCAATTGTAATTATCTTTTCTTTCTTTTTTACCACACACATAGGACTTCGTCCTATAGGATTTTGTCACAAAGAAAATATCTTGGTGGTTTTTGAGCAGCATTCGTTTTTTAGGATTATTCTTCTTTCTCAAATTCGGATTAGGATCGTCTATAGTGAGTTTATGCCATGGCATATATGGAATCACACGGAGCCATGTATCGTTCCAATTTTTGATGTGATAATTAATTTTTTATATTATGACTAGCATACGCATTGTTCTGAGAGAATGACGTATGGTTCCGCGTGAAAGAAATGGACTCATAGACGGGGATTCTAGCTCTTATTAAATTCCTTTGATTTTATGAGAGATTGGAGAGTTGAATATTATGTGTGCGAGTAAAGGAGAACACAATACATTTACTAATATTTTGAATATTTACTATTGCTCTATAATTTTAAGTTCGCGATCACGGTTTTCATTGCAGATGTCCTGACAGTGGGCCCCGGGCCACCAGGATGCCGACAGACGACGACTATGGCCGAAGAGATCGTCTCCTGTTGCACCAGCACCCGATCGCGCAGTACGGGTCCTCGTCATCCCCGCTTCCCGGATCGAGCGCGCCGAATTCCAGTGGCGTGGGGACCCAGATTGGTCCCAGCAATCCCAGTGACTGCTTCAAGCAGCAAGTACAGCAGCAGCAGCAGCAGCAGCAATCGTCCGACTTGCGTTCGGTCACGAGTGCCGCGACTCAATCGGGTCAAGAACGTCACCAGTCGGATCAACAGACCCAAAGCAGCGAGCATGTCGGGGCCCGAATGGTCGATCGGCACGAGAAATCCGCGGAGAAGTCCACGATCGACTTCTCTAAGTGCGGGGAGGGTCGTCCGTCGAGTTGCGAGCGCTTTGGGCATTATCAGGCCCAAAGCGGCGAGCATGTGGGGGGCCGGTTGGGGGGTGAGCGGCACGAGAAGGCCGTGGATAAGACTTGTATCGATTACTCCAAGTGCGGAGAGGATCGTCAGCAGAGTTGCGAGCGTTTCGGACATTATCAGGCCCAGAGCGGCGAGCATGTGGGGGGCCGGATGGGGGGCGAGCGGCACGAGAAATCATCAGACAAGTCGTCGGTCGATTTCACCAAGTGCACCGCTGACGGTCGACAGTCGAGTTGCGAACGTTTCGGGCATTATCAGACTTCGGCGTTCGGTCAGTCCTCGTTGCAGGGCCACTACGGCGGCGTGCACGCCGATCGCTTCGCGCGATTCAACGATCTTAGCGCGTTGCACGGCGAGCAGCGGCCCCCGAGTGATCGTTACTCGGTCTGCAATCCGGAGCTGCGCTTCGACACGGCGGGCACGAGCGGGTCCGGCGAGTACGCGAACGCGAACGCGCTCGCGGGCTCCTTCGTCTCGGAGACGTTTCCGTCGCCGCCGTCGCCGGCACCGGCGAACGACCGCTTCGTCCCGCCACCGCCATTGTCGCCCAGTCCGAGCGAGAAGTATGCCTCGAGCCAGAGCCTGGCTAGTTACCCTTCTGCTGATCGCATTTTGCCCCCCAATTCTCCGGGGCCCAAGTACGGCGCCGACGGTGCCGCTACAGCATCGTCGATGCCCGCCAAGGAGCGTTTTGCCTCCGAACGGTTGCTGGCCAATCAGCAATCAGCCGCAAGCGACGCTAAGGATCAACAACGCTACGCTGGACCACCTGATCGCCTGCTCTCGGAATCCTCCCCGGTCCTGGGAGGACTTCAGGCTGGACTTCAAACGGGGCTCCAGGGTAGCGCGGTCTACGCCAAGGACACTCGTTACGCCGCCATCTCCGCGGAGAGGATATTATCCTCCTCGCCGATACACGCTCCGGTGCCTGAGAGATTCGTTGGCAAGTCGGAAAGGTACTTGGGCGAGTCGCCCATTCACGATAGGTATCCTCGACAGGACCCACCAGCGACAGTACATCACGAGCGCTATTCGGCGATGGCGGCGACCACCGAGAGGTGAGTTCAAGTCACATTAAATGGACTTTCAATAATAATCTCGCGGATTTGTCAATTGCCTCGATCAGTTGGATTTTCTGATACGTATCAGCTAAGGGGACATCTTTGATGTCCTGTAACTGTTGCCTTTATGAACTACCAACTGTGGCTCTATTTTTACGCTTCCGAGTTACATTTCACATTCATTCGATCCCTTCCATTTGGAAAAAAATGTCCGCAGGTTCCTCTCGAATTCGCCTAATCCTGAGAGCGCGCATCAGCGCTATTCATCGTCAGACCGCTCGTCACTTCAAACTTCCTCCAGCGGCACCGAGCAAAGTCGACGCCTTTACACTGACAGAGGTGTCGAGACGGTCTGCCAGAAGTATACCGATCGGTCCATCGGCTCTCCGGCGTCCGCCGACTTCGGTCGGTACTCCGGTTTTCCGGAGGTTGCCAATCAGACGCGATACGTGTCCAGCAACGATCGCTTCAACGATCTCACCCTACAGCGTTGCAGTCAATCGCGGTCGATCGACAGGTTCTCCAGCGACCGATACCTGGCCGGATCGTCACCCGCGCACGACGGCAGGCTGTCCAGTGCCGAGACGCCGCGCTACATCGTCTCTTCCACCGAACGCCTGCTGGCGCCGACGTCCTCTTCGTCGTCCTCCTCGTCGGAGACTGGTAAGTGTCTCGCTTTGTCCCGAGCGAAGGTCTGAGAACGCGTCTCGACACCGATTTCTTCTTCCCACCAACGTTAGTATTCTTGGCTTCGTTAATCATTGATCACTTAAATATCGGAGTGTTCTAATTCCAATCCTTGAATTTTTTACTCCGCGAAACTTTGATACCACGGACATTTGATCGTAGGCATTTTTGATGGATACTAAAATTCTTTTAGCCACGGAGTTTTTGACCTAAATTCTTGCCGAATAATTTCTTGAAAATGTCTTCAAGAATGTTAAAGAGATAAACTGAAGGAAAACATTCGATTACGTTCGATATATCTATACAATTTCGAGGCTTCGCTTGCAATTCCGTGAAATTGCGACAGAACTTGATGGTTTTCTCCACGACGAACCTTTATTCTCAATTTTCTTCGCTCTCAGTATCAATTCTCCTTTCGATATCCAGGCTCCAGGTATCACTCGCCCTACACAACGACCGGCACCCAATCATCGGCCTCCAACGAGCGCTTCACGTCAATCTCGCCGACGTCCGAAGCGTCGTCGAATGTCCACCGCGGCGGCGTCGGCTATCAGAACACAAAGAGCACCGTTGACAAGTATCTGGTCTCGAAATCGGTCCAGAGCAGCTACGATCGCTACTCGGTCGGCAGTCAGAACGATCATCAGTTCGGCCAAGACCGATACTTCACTGCCGGCGGCGGTGGCGACCGATTTCAGACTACTCCCGGAGCTGACCGTTTTCACGCTCCTGCTGATCGCTATTCGCCGGCGCGCAGCGTCGCCGACAAGTACCTGTCCCTGCCGAAGCCTAAGGACAGGTACACCGGCCGCATAACGCCCATCTCTTGCGCCAACGCCGTCGCGACGTCCTCCACCGATCGCACCTACTGCACGTCCAATGTGAGCTACGTGCCCCCGACTGCGCACACCCCGGTTGAACGATACGTGCCCCAGCCGCCTCCCGAAGTGCTCTACCCGGATAGGTAAGTGTTAACTTGACAAAAGGTTGCTATACATTTCATAATATACGCCAATCGTGAAGACACCTCAGAGACACCTTCTCTCTTTCTTTTCAAAAGACTTTTATTCACGTAATGACTTGACGTAATACCAAGAAAAACAAGTATCAAACAAACTGTAGAAATTTTCAGCAACGTCTCTCTTAATGAAGCTTTAGTAGCTTATTTCACTTCTTCCAACTGTAGCGTAATAAAACGCGTGGCCTTTTCAAGAACTCAAATGTAACTGAAGTTAGAGTAATAATTTTTTGCGACATGAAGATTAAATAATGTCAATGCATACCAGTTATTTCTTACAGTGCGTAACCGCGCACGATTCGTATCGGTTGATTTCCGATGAAGGCAAGTTACTTTCCATCGAAAAGCCCTCCGGGCTGCTGTTCCGCACTCTCGCGGTCCACTCCCGCGCGAGTAGAACCTGAAAGCCTGGTTTCTACGATTGTTCAGGTACGTGGACAGGTATGTGCCGCCCGCGGCGCACACGCCGACCGATCGATACGTGCCCGCGAGTGATCCAGGTGATCCATACATGCGTCGCGACCTTGGCTTTCATCACCACTATCGGCTACCGCCGCCCGCCGGTTACCCATACCAGACGCACTTCCGGTTCCGCGGGTTCGCATACGCGACGTCCGGCCGGCTGGGCGGGAGTCCAGGGTCCAGCAGCTCCAGCAGCACGACGTCCACCCAACGCGAGACGTTCGCCACGTCGCCGTTGCTGAGGCCCAAGGCGCGCGCGTCCGCGGTCGAGTTCGGCGCGGTCACAGGCACCGGCACCGTCGGCACCGTCGGCTCCGCGACGACCACGACGACCGCCGGCCGTCACGTGTGCGCGAATCCAGCCGCCTGTTGCGGGGACGTGTCCGCCAACGGCAGAGCCTGCTGCCAGATGAGGAGGTCCCTGCCACCTGGAACACTGCCGGCGATACCCACGCAGACTTCCTCATGGTGAGTACCTGCGCGGTCACGTCAATTCGCGGGACCGTTCGACCGAGTCTCAGAATGTCCGAGGTCGTTGCAGCTGAACGCGTCTTACGGGAAATCTCTAGGTTCACAGTCGTGTGAACAGCACTGGACATCTGGCTCTGGTACTCGCGCGAATTAAAAAGAGAAAATGCTTTCTCTTTGTGCGCGTAGTTGATTTTTGATAAGAAGCTTAATTGAAGCGTTGGACGCAAGAACCAGACTTCATTTTTTTGTAAAACTGAATTATGATTTTATCATTGCTAAAAAAAAACTAGTAAGGAACAAAGAATTTTTTTCATATTTACATGCTGCCTAGAGGTACATTCGAATGTATCATACCGTTACACAAGAAAAAGTGTAAAATACTGTGATTGTCGGATAGTTTTTTAGTTTTGGTAAAATTTTTTTCTAAATTTTTTGTACAACAGGGTCGACCTGGTTCGTGCATCCAACCCTTCAATTACAGAACACGCGTATTGTACGTAAAATATAATATTATTCGTACGTTTGAAAAATATTTGCTTTACGACAGTCAGAAAGGTTCGGAGCCTCGGCCCTGGTAGCAGCCGCGTTCTTAAAAAGACGCTATAATTTCCGAAGCATAAAAATTCTAATTTCCTTCTCCTTTTTCCCCGAAAAGCGCGCGATATATCAAATTTCAAAGCACGGGAGATTTCTCCCGCCGATTAGCCGCAAATTTCGATGTAAATCGCGCGTGTAATCGTCGGCCCCCAAAAAAAAGAAATATCGATTACGGGTGAGCTTAAGAACGGGCGAAAGCTGTAGCGTGTGTTGAGAGCTTGCGCGTGTAACCCGGGGATTATAGGTGAAGCGGGGCGCCGCGGGGGCGGGGGTGGGGTAAAATGGGATAGCTTCCGCAATGCACATGCTCGAGTAATAATGCGCCTGTATAATAAAGCTCACGAATTAGAATGGAAGAGCCCCCTAATTGAGGGATAAATGTTATTTATGGGGTCGATGGGAAACCCAAGAGATTTTGGTTTAACACACAACTTTCTTCGCCCCCCTCGTCGTTCCTCCGGATTTGACTGAAAACGACCCTCCCCCTTTTCCCCCAGTCTCGAAACACGTCGCGTTGTCGGGTACGGTTTTAACTGGATTAATAGAAATGAAATAGCGCGCATTAGCGATTTACAGAAACGCGCGTTGCATTATTTCGCGCCGTTTAATAGATCGATCGGTGTAATAGGCTGCGTCGCCGAAAGAGTCCCGGCGTACAGCGTTCCTCGTCAATGAGGATGCTTGAATGATCGTCGAACCGATCTCGGCATGAAAGATAAAACGGGCCGGTGATACTCCATTAACCTGATTGCTGCGACGAAAGTGTGTATGACCTTTTCGAGGCTTTTGTCTTTTGCGCCGCCAAATGCGGACTCGCGTCCTGAATTCCGAATTTGCGCTAAAACTCGCCGCCCCTTTGTCTTAAAGGCCCGCCGAGAATAAAACACGGTTGATAATCGATAAGGGGATAGCCAGACGTAGAAACAAATTGTAGGCCAGGGCGGGATACTTTTGCACACGGCAACACATTCGAACAACCCGATGCCGTGCACGATGGAAAGGTTTACAGAGTCTCTTGCAATGTTTATCGGAAAAAGTAACATGTTTTACAGTTTTAACAAAAACGATAAAAAAAATTTTGTCGCGGGGCAAAATAAAATGTTACAATTTTTCAGATGTCCATACTGTTCGCATTATCTTGTCAATTAATTATGCATAAAAGTAACGGAAAAAACCTACAGTGGGATCTACTTCTTCGAAAAACGAAAGAATTACATGAAAAATTCAGATCAATAATTGTGATAAGGGCGACAGGAGCATATGAAGAATGGTACGATATTTGACAGTGTGTCTGTAATAAAATGGAAAGAACAGAACGCAATAATCAGTTTTTAGGAAATATAAATATCGACATGTTTAATTTGACGTCAGACGTTTCGGCTACTAAAAGTAACCCTTTTCCATGACAAATTACAAACTTAATACGCTAAATATCACAAATTTTCGGAGATATACCGCATCGTATGTGTCGTGATATTTTTATTTAACTAGCACACACAGCTCTTTTTAAAAAGGTATGTAAGACGAATTATTAACGCTGTTCCGCGATGCTGATTTTCTCGCTTGGCTTTGTAGTACGAGTAGCTGTCAGTGCGAAAATCATGTAATATGTATTTTGACAGAGTGTCAACGTCAGATTACGTCTTCTTCACATGAAAAAAATCTTAATGTGTGAAAAAGATCACGAATAAATATAAATTAAAACCAAATAGCGCGCGCAATGCTATTTCCAATAAAGTATTTAATACCAATTTATATTATTATTAAAGTAAATAATTCGATCATTTTTCCCCATAATAAATGAAGATTTGCAATTTAGTAATATACATTTGTATACACCAACTATTGAGGTAAAATCTCTAATCTTAGTAATTAGAATTTAAGTATAAACAACGATTTTTGTTCCGATACATTTTCTCGATTGAACAGAATTAATCGTTAATTTAATCAATACCAATAAGTCCGCGGAATAATACGCAAAACGTAGCAACAGTCACGGAACAAAGTAATGTACAATAAAATATTAGGTAAGTACGGAATTTTCCATTGCGTAGGCAGGCCAACGAATTCTCAACGTACTTTTGTTGTTTTTCACTCGGCGCGGTATCGTACGACGATTAAGCGGGCCAACGAATTCTCAACGTTTTTTTGTTGTTTTTCACTCGGCGCGGTGACGTACGATGTTTTTGCATGCCATCGTGTAGCTGAAGGTCGTCGCGCTATCATTCGCTCGCCGAACGTCGAGCCGGCAGGCAGTGGCGAGAGTCGCTCCGTGCGTGCTATTAGTTTTGCGTTATCGGTTTCCAAGACTCGATCGCGACGAATGTAGGGATAAAACGCAATCGATTTGTACACCTTTATCAGTAACGAGTAACGTTCCTCGATTATTAAGTTCCTACAACTTGTATAATGAGAAACGAATTGCGTGTTGAGGCGACGGCTCTTTATCAACGTACACAGGTATTTCACGAGACTAACTCATCTAAAATATGAATGTGAACCGTGGTACTTTGTCGCGGTTACATCACGTTTACGCACTGCGCTTTTAATTATCTATCGATTTCGTGTAATCCGTTCTATTTTCGGGAAAAGAAAGAAACTTGTGCGTGAAATTTGTGTGTGATTTCGGCGTTCGCGCTATAATTCGCTCTGTCGTTTTTCAATATTTCGTGCGTTTCGCGGTATCTCACATCGCGTACGGAAATGCCGAAATTTCGCGTGATCGATGATTTTCGCGAGTTAGTGTTGTGTAAGTGCAACAAGGAAATCTGAGAGGAGGAGGAGGCTGAGGAGGCATCGGGCAACAGCGGAGAAATCGGTGAGGTGAGTATCTTACATTTTTATGTTATTTGCTACTTGTGCAAAATAAAGCATCTGTTCTGTGTTTTTATTTTATTTATTCAAATGATTCGAACGAGGATTCGAATAAGTGTTAGAGACAAAATCATACGTATAAAATTTTGTGAGTTTATATTTAAAAGGAAGACTTTTTCAGTATTCTATATAATTATTTTAATAAATACTTATTTTTTTAAATATAAAATATAAAGTATATGTAATACAATCATTTCGATTTTATATAATTAGTCTGTAATAATCATATACATATTTGTATTTTTACAGTTTAACATACACAGTTAACGATGTACAACTCTGCTGTTGCGTATCAGTGAGTGACAAATTATTTTTTATTTTAAAGTGACGTTGCGCATACAATTACTTCTTTACATGTATACAAATTCTTAAAAATATACAATATATGCTCGACCACAAACTGCGCGCGCGAAGCGCGCGTTTTGTCATTTTGTCATAATAAGCGATTATATTTCACAATTGATGCCTGAGATTTCGCGTGCTCAGGCACGGCGAAATGACAAGTGATAAAATTGTTCCTATGAATGTCGCCCTTTTTATGAATTTTGCTTATCGCATAAATTTTAATAACATCGTCGCTATACGTTTCCCCGCTTCTCTACGCATTGCATTAGTGTTTTCTCTTCACGAATAATGGACGCATGAGCTTAACACATCTTAAAAATAATTCAAGTAAAAATTCGCAACATATTGTAACTTCAGTGTTGCAGCTGTCAAAGTGGTCGATCAATATCAGTTGCCATAAAGGTTGTTACTATGCTTAAAAAAAGGCTACATTTATAGAAAAACACGATTTCGAAACAGCCAACCAACCAATCGGCATCGCGGAAAAGCGGCAACAATACCGCGCGACCAAGAGCGCACTTCTCGGTCAAAATGACTTTTTTCATTAGGGAATAGAATAAATATTTACTTCAGTAAAAAAATAATTTTAAGTAAATTTATATACTTTGTGTAAAAAATTTTTTGTCAGTGTATCAATATTCAAAATTCGTATATACTTACATCACGTCTTACAATTAGACACGTGCATGCAAACGCCGAATACGTCATAAGAGAATTTGAAAAATTCGGAAATTTTCGGGCAATTTGTTATCCGCAGTTAACATGATAACGTTAATTTAAATTTGTAAAATTTCCATGGAATTAACCGCGAACGATGATCCCCGAGCAGTTTTCGCAAAGCCGACCTTCGTGGAGTTGGTCCACTTCCGCTTCTTCCCATTCAAATTTCGTCCAAATTAATCCAGATTGCTGCAGTACGATCCGCTCGCGGTGGCGAAGGGGTTGACGGGCCTGGTGGACGGGACGGGGATAAAGGGGGGGGGGGTAGACGAATGACCCGGAAGTCGTAAGGGGTAGCATCCGGGCATTGTCTTGCACCGGTAACGACGATGTTCCACGAGCTGCTGGTAACTTCGGTAATTATGTCGTGCTCGTGAGTTTAACTGGCCCCGTCGCACGAAATTGCAATCTGACACCGGCCGTCGCCATGTCAGTTTCAATTAAGGATTTTATCCTCGCCC